ATCCTGACGTTACTTAACTGCAGATGCACTCTGAAATACTCTGCAAATGCTGACATTAATGCACTGCCATGAGAGCCCCTTTAACAGGAGACCCCAAGGTGTGACACAGAGAATTGCTCAGGCATCAGGGCAGGAAAAAGAACTGCTCAGGCTCAGGTAAAGATCAGAAAATGCTCACAGGAGGAGAGGTGTGAGGGGAAAATGGTGCACAGTGAGCACAGAAAAGCTCAAACCAGAGGCTTGGTATTAATGGGAGTTGGGAAGTTCACAGGAGCAGTTTGGGCCATGGGAAATTTCAAAGCCACCAAATGTTGAAAATTGCATTGGAAACTCAACTTCATAAACTCCATGGGCCACCCAAGCATGGCTGACCTGACAGAACTCCCCCTGGGAGCTCCTCCGTGCCCAAATCCCAGCTCCACCTCCGGGAAGGCAGGGCTGGTGGCTCAGGGAATGATTCAGCCCATCCTGCCAGGTTCATTAAGCAGAGCTGGTGCCCATGGCAGGGCTGCAATACCTGGAACAAGCTGCTACTGCTCCATCCCACCTACACAGCCCCTTCAGAGGTTTGGTAAACACACACTGCAAACACATTCTCCAGGGCTGAGGTCACTGTTGCCAGCTTGGGTTGTTCTGTATCCCAACAAACACCAGCACACAGATGGAAAATCAAATCACATCTCAGCACCTGGTCCTGCTCCACTTTTACGTGACACAGGTAACTGAGGGAGCTCCAAAAAGGCTCAAAATTGTGGGGTAAAACAAAAGTAATTTAATTTTAAGTATTTTTTTTTAACAAATTGTTCAAAATTAGTCAACCGAGATCTGTCTCTGTCTCAAGTGACAGCTGCAGTTTGAAATGTGACTTACAGACTTCAAGGCAGCCACTCACTGCCAGCCAGCTAAAGCACCAAAAAGCTTCAAGCACCAAAGCTCACGAGTGGGATATCATTTCAAATTCATGTCTAAATCATCAAGCTGCTCCATTTTGGCACGGCCCTTGTGAAGACAGGAGTTTTTCTGCAGGCATCTGGAGATGTCTCCTTAGGTTCCCACGTCCCACAGACGTGAGAAAGCTGAGCCAGTGCAGGGCACAGCACCAGAGCTGCCACCCTGGCGTGGATTAAAGCTGTGTGTGACATCTCAGTGCCACTAATTACCCACTAATGAACCCTGCCAGAGCTGGGGCTCTGCACAACCCAGTGAATAGCTGGAATTCCTAGAACTGGTCTGGGTACCCAACTGACCACAGCTCCGCCTGTAATCGAGCTAAATCCATCCTTAAGGACCCTTAAACTGTGGAATTTGGCCTTTTGAAACCTTTATTTGCTGAAATACTTTGCAGTTGACAGACTTGCCAATGAATACTTGCAAATCTCATTGAGAGGCCTGTGCTGCTGTATCCCATTCCCAGCCTTACATAAACCCCCCATCACATGGGGAATAGTTATAAAACATCCCAGCGTGGAAATTTCCTCCTTAAACAAAAGTTATTTTAAGACCCAAACACAATTTGGCCTTCAGAGATGTAAAAATTTAAGTACAGTGCAAGTGGAAGCCACGTAAAAGGGAAAAATCCCATCAGGGTGGAGGGCAGGGGTGGGATTACACAGAAAGAACAGAGAATTCAAAATGATGGCACTGTAATTTTGGGTCCCTTCTCTCTGAATGAGCCCCAAATTTCAATCAAGTAAGTGATAAAAAGCCAAGATTAGTTAGGGGGGAAAAAACCCAAATATGACAAACTTCCAGACAAAGTACATGAGGATTTATGGTTACAGCACAAGGAGCCAGACAGGTTGGATATAAGATTATTGACTCTGGGGAATCTTTACTAACAGAAAATACACTGGGGAAAGAAAGTTTGCTTCTCCAACCATTTCCACTCTGCTGTTTTGCCATCAGAGTGAACTTTCCAAGACAGAGGGGTGAGCTCTTAAGTCCAATAAGACAAAAAAATACAGGGAAGGTTTTTTTCCCCAAAGGAAAAAGAGCAAAGGTAACTCAACCAAATGATACACTGGAAAACCTGAAATAGCTGGAAATGTTTTACATGAAAAGCTGATCCACCACAGGTTTGCCTTCCATGCCCTCCTGAGGCGCCTTTGCCACCTGAAGATTCTAGTTCTCAATTAAATCCTTAAAAATGTGGGGGGTGTTTGGAATTGTCTAGTGGAAGGCAAGATTTCAGCTCACATTTCTCTGAAAGTGAACAGAGTGAGTCCAGAATCACCTCAGTAACCACCTGAGGGTTAAATGTGCACTTTTCTTCTGGTTTGGCTTTATTCAAGATGCAGAAATAACTCTGCAGGTTTTAGTTATTCCCAAAGTTGAGGTCAGCACGTTAAACAGCTGTGCAGTGGAACACGGGTTTGGAAAGATTTATCTTTATCTTTCTTGCCAACACCAGATTTATTGAAGGATTTGCCACCTGGGCTCTCCCACCCTCCTAAGAAGAGGTGAGAGCATCCCTGCACACCTTTGTGTGTGTGCTCCCAGCTCCAGGAATGATCACTGCCCTAACACAGAGCAGCCAACAAATAAACCCAAATTATTTCAGGGATTGGGAGGTAACAGAGACTCAGCTCAGAGTGACATGCTTCCCTCACTGTTTTTCCCTGCCTTTTTAACTTGCCAAGCCCTTCACAGGATGCAATTTGCTGTAGGACTGATCACAACCACCTAAACATCACCAAGAATCTCACTGAAGAAATTCATAAAAGCACCACAGGCAGCTCCTCTTTAGCAAGGTGTATAAATTTTCCTCCCCCAGGAACACGTCTGCCTTCTCTGCTTGCTGCGTTTCCTCTCTTTGCTGTATTTTCCCACCCCTGGAATGCCTCGTGCTATTTCAGATCCACCTGAGAATTTTGGGGAGCGGCTTTGCAAAACTGCTGCTGTCAGTTCTGTGCCTCTCCTCTGCAAATGCCCCCAGCCCTGGCTGCTGGGGAGCCCAGAGTCCCGAGGCCAGGCTCACCTGCAGCCGAAGGTGGTCTGCAGCAGGGTGGTGATGCCCACGCAGAAGAAGATGGTCCCGATGAGCTGGCTGGTGGCCCACTGGTCGAAGCCCACGCACATGGCATCGGCCAGCAGGAAGGGCACGGCGATGGTCCCGCTGAAACACGTCAGGTAGTGCTGGGGGCACAGGGGGGGTTAGTGCTGCCAGCCGAGCCGCCCCTCCATGCCCTCACCCCAGCTGGCTCCTTCCCGGGCCAGCAGCAGCTCCTCCTGCTGCTGCTGTGCCCCTGCCAGAGCTCCCCCTGCCCTGAGCTTTGTCCTCAGCGTTTTGCTCCCGATCCTATGTGGGGGTTTCTGATTTTTGTCATTTCTGGGGGATCCACAGGGTCCCGAAGCAGCTCCACAGCTGCTCTCCTAGTGTAAATGCAGGTGAACCCAATGGGAAGAAATGCTGATGTCTGACTCCAGTTCAGAAGGCTGAATGATTTCTTTATTATAACTACACTCTAATACATTAATATACTATTTAAAGGAGATACTAAAACTACAAACCTACTTTTTCTAACTACCAAATCTAACTCACCCACAACTTGTAACCCTCTCTGGAGAGTCCAGCCACACGTGGATTGGATTGGCCACCAGGCTCAAACAATCCTCACCAGAATCCAACCAAGGTAAACAATTCTCCAAACACATTCCACGTGAGAACAACAAGAAGCAGAAATAGAAATTGTTTTCTCTTTCTTCCCTCTGTGCTGCTCTATGAGAGAGAGAAGAATGTCCCTGCCACACTCCTGAGGAGGCACGGAGGTAACTGTGCTGAGAGCAGCCTCCAGCCCAGAAATAACTCCACTCCCACTGGCTCACATCCCCACAAAGCAGCTACCAAGGGCTCCTTAACTCTTCCTCAACCCAAGCACACCAAAGGCAAAAGAAACAAATTTTCACCGTACCCCACACACAAGTAATACCATAATTCCTATGGAACTGCCTGTCCTTGAGGAAAAGGCAGACACAAAAAGGATGCTTTGGAATGTGCTTGTTTGGAGATCTCAAGGTCATTTACAGAGATGACCAAATCCTCAGCATTCCTGTGGGACAGATGTTACTACCACTGCAGAAGGGAAGGAGAAGGAATGCAGCTGCTCTGCTGCCCACTGCAGCCCCACTCCCTGCAGGAAGCGCTGCTGGTGCTCCAAAGGCAAGCCAGGTGCAGGCTGATGCTCTCACAACTCAAATAACTGCAGGGGCAGCTTGAATATTCCATATTTCAGGTCTAAACCCTTCTCTCTCTCCATCTCTAACTCCAGAGGGTGCCCAATGTCCCTTGTGAAGGCCACCACTGAGCCTTTGCTCACTCAGTGACCAACAGCAGCTTGTAACTCTGAATATTTGAGTCACTCTCACAAATGCACGAGCTGAAAACTGAAATAATTCTCAAAGTAATGCTCTGTGATCAGCTTCCTCCTAAAACCTCCTTCAAAATCATTCTCAGAGCAGTGATCTGAGTGTGATCAGCTTCAGAAGAAACTTTTTAACCCCTCCTCAAAACCATTCTCAGAGCAATGCTCTACTGTGATCAGCCTCAGAAGAAACCTCCTAACACCTTCCTCAAACAGGGCAGAGTGCAGAAGGATAAAACTCACACACACAAACACAATGAAGTGCACAGAAAATCCTCAACACACTTTGAAAGGTACAGAAGGAAAAGCTGTCTCTGCCTGGGGATGTACCTGCAAGCCCAGAAAGATGCAGAGGTACCAGGGAGGAACATCTTCGATGGTGTAAATCATGTCAGTCCTCTGGGCATCCAAGCTGCCACTGCTGTCCAGGGTCTCTGCCAGGGAGCTCTGCAGGAACAAGGGGCACCAGCAGGTCAGTGCTGCACAGAATAAAGTGAATTTCAACTGCCAGGCTGCTTCAGAATGCTGATTTGTGACAAGTTCAAAGCCTTTCGCATCCAGCTCCTGAATTTGTAGCCAGCATGTTCCCTCCTGAACACTCCCTGCTTATTTATTTATAATTGCTGATTTATGACAGAACTGATCTGGCAGCCAAAAGGTGCCCCAAAATGGATTCCTCATGACAAGGCTGTTAAAAAACCCCACCAAACCCCAAAGCCACAAAAGCAAACAGAAAAACAAAACAGGGAAGAATTAAAACTAGGAAGAAGAGCTCTGTCCTTGCATCAGAGACCAAAATCACTGGCAAAAATAAATCCTCATTATGATAATTGCTTCCTTGCTTTGCTCTTATCCAATTTCATCTTGGTTAACCACTTTTAGCCAAAGAATTTATAATTTTCCTTCTTCCCTCTCATTTTTGCAGTCAAGAAAAATGCTAATTATTACGCCCAAATTAATCCCCAACCAAATTCTATCAGCCAAGCAGAATTCCTCCAGGAATTTCAATTCCCCCAGGAATTTAGGCAAGGCCTACCACATGCCAATGGACCACAGACATTCACACATCAACACCCCTGCAGCTTTCCCAGTAAAACCAGGGCCAGCTCTGCCTTTTCTCTGTCACAAAGAAGTGGAATCCTTTCCCTCTGGTTTGGAAACTCCTGGGAACAAACCCACAACGCTCCAGAGCCCCAGCACAACAACAGAAGCAGGAGGAAGTATCAGATTTTGTAATTTCAGACCCAGCAGCTAAAAAAGGACCTTACACAACAGCTGCTCTGCCCTAATCCAACCCAAGACACTCGGAGCCCACGTGGAGCTGCCTCACACAGAGCCCGGGAGCTCTGCCAGACTCGTGACTGCCCCAAATGGTCCTCACTTCTCCAAAAAACCCACACATCCACGGCTTGGCCTGAGGTAATCTCCACTTGGTGCCACCCGCAAGGCCAAACTGAGCCTGGCACTCCCCTCCCACCTCAGCCTTGTGAGGAAAGCAAATCCACAGGGAAAATTCACAGCCAGGAGTGCAGGTGGGCACAGCGCTGCGGGTGCTGCAGCAGAAATGCAAAATGCAGGAACTCTCATCTGAGGGAACTCTTTAAAGCACTTTGAGCAGTGCTCTCCCCAGGCCTGCACCTCCTGCAGCACCACTGACCAGACAGCTTTTCACTGACTGAAAAAAAGAACAAATTCTCTCCTGACCCAGTTCTCTAAAAAAAAAAACCATGTGAAAAAACCAGGAATTAGAACCATGGCATGGCTGAGGCTGGAAAAGCCCTTTCAGATCCTCACACAGCAGCACCACCATGGGCATCACCAAACCCATCTCCAGGTGACACACCCACACATTTTTGGAACACCAGGGGGGGATGGGGACTCCATCACTGCCCTTCCAATCCCTGACCACCCTTTCCAGAGAAAAATTCCTCCTCATGTCCAGCCTGACCCTTAAGGCTCAGTGCCAGCCCTGCCATGGGCAGGGACACATTCCTTTCATGTGCTGAACAATTCCCACATGTTTAGGAACTGAATCTTTTGGTTTCTGTCCTATGGGATAGTTTTGGATTTATTATTAAACAATTTCCTACAAATTTAAAATAGCAAAGGAAGCCAGAACAGTGCACTGGTTTGCTGCCATGAGGGAAGGAACAGGGTGATGGTTTAGCTGACTGAGGGTTTTATTTTGGATGAGGCTGTGGGTTGAGGGCTTTTTTTTGATATTTCTGGAGAAAACAACAATGAAAACAACAATTTCACTGTCCCAGGCTGCTCCATCCATCCAGGCTGGCCTTGGGCACCTCCAGGGATCCAGGGGCAGCCAGAGCTGCTGCAGGCACCCAGTGCCAGGGCTGCCCACCCAGTTCCTTCACTGGAGCCACAGCAAAGCTTTAACTCAGGGAGATCTGCTTACTCTAAAGCTCGAGGTCTCTTTTAGGTGAACTATTCTCCACCACCCACAGCTCTGACCCCGAGGATCAGCTGGGAGGGAAGGAAGCACACGTTTGGGAAAACCAGAAACACTGTGGTGTCTAGGGATGGCTTATCTCATTGCACAATTCCACCCAAACACCTGTGGCCCAAGGCTTTGATCAGATTGTGCCTCTCCCCTCCTCCAAAAATCAGCCATCAAAGACTTCCACAGGTAACACAGCCCTGCCCATGAAACATGAGTGTGGTGGGGAAGGGAGTGAGACACCTGGGCAGGCTGAGCTGGCAGTGCACCAGGCCAAGCTCCCCTGAAACCCAGCACTGACCACCTCTGGCTCCTCAGGGGATGTTTGAAACCCGAAATTCGGGAGTGAAAGCATTAACTGCATCCCTTGGAGTCATCCTTGCCCCAAGAGAAACTGTGGCCTTGAAGGAAGGAGCATCATGATGCCCCTGCCTGGAACCAGGAGTTTTGTTCCTGTTTGAATCAGGACAATTTGAAAAACCTGGGTCAGGCTGAGGCTTTTCAGAGACAAAGTGAGTTTGACTGAACATTTCAGAAGTTCAAATCCACCATAACCCTCATCCTTATTTTAAACAAAGACTCACATCATCTCAGCTTGCAGGATCATCACTAAACAGGCCTAGGGAATCAAAGAATGGAGAAAAAAGCTGGAAAAATCCCAACCAAGGGCACGAACTGCTCCCACCATTTCCTGAGTCATGCCCCAAGTGCTGCAACCAAAGTGTGTGACCAGCAGTCACGAGGGCAGAGCTGCCTGGGGTGATGTGAATGTGCAATTCAGCAGCTCTGGGACAGGAAACCTCCCCGCCAGGGGAGCACAAGTGGGAGCTGGGAGAGCTCCCAGCTGCCAGGGCAGCCCCACAGACCTTTTCTGCTATGCCATTCTCCGTGGTGTAGATGGCCATGAGCTCCGTGTCCTCGGTGTCCTGATCAGCGCTGGACGTGGCTCCACCATTTATCACAACCTGGAAAAGGGAGCAAAACCAGAAAGAGATGAAGTTTTAAAATCAACATTTCCTCTGCCATCACACCTCGTATGTCAGTTTTCTCTCTGGGTACTTGACATCTGGCTCTGACATTTAGAGAACATGAGGAGCATGGCAAGGCATCATTTCTGTAACAGCAGGGCTAGGGACAGATATCACATAGAGATCCTTAAAAATATCCCAGAGATCTCCCTAAAAACAGAGAGATCGCTAAAACATCCCCAGCACAAATATTCAGAGCTTTGTCACTGACTGCTTGTGGAAAAGTTTGTACACCTGTAGGTCTGTACACCTGGAGTATCATTCCCTGGAAAGGTTTGTACACCTGTAGGTGTGTGTACACCTGGAGCAGCACTCCCTGGAAGGGTTTGTACACCTGCAGGTCTCTGTACACCTGGAGCAGCACTCCCTGGAAGGGTTTGTACACCTGCAGGTCTCTGTACACCTGCAGGTGTCTGTACACCTGGAGCAGCACTCCCT